AGAAAACAAAAAAAAGAAATAGACAAAAAAAAATCCTAATGTGCCCGAAGCACATAACACTCACCCAGCCCTAGTGTGGACATAGCCTTAGATAGGGGGAAAGAAAGTCAAAATGCTTCATTTTCATCTGCGTAGGTACTAACATCAGTTTCATGTCCTAACAGCTGCCCAAACTCCCCAGTGTACCATTGGGCTCAGTCTCTGGTATCCAGAGGTAATCCCAGAAGGGATGCTAAGGAGCAATGGATCTACTTCTAGCTCTTACAAGAGGAAATAACTCCTCATCATAGCACTTAGAGTAAACCTGATCATTCTATGAAAGAAGCACATTCAATTGATTAGATCTAGGATATCCTCCTTAAAGTCATACATTTTCTTTTATCAAGCATTTTTATTGTCTTTAATGAATCCCAACGCCATGTTTTTGGAGACTTTAGGCTTAGACTGCAAACAGAATTAGACAACAGAAACTGGCAACAAAAGAAAATAAGAAAATCCTTAGAAGACACCCTAAGAAAAAATAAAACACCCTTAGAAGAGAAACATAAAATTAAAGAACATATAGGATATCATTTTTCTATACTCCTTTAGATAAAAACGGGAAAAAAAACTCTTACATTTGTAGAATTTTTAAAACCTTCTTAGAATAAAATTATAAGTAAATGTAGCTTGTTGTATTAATGTGAAGCACAGCTTGTGCTAAATCAGTCTATGCTGGGGGGCCGGTGGTCAGGTTTTTATTGTCAACCAGGGTGTTGATTTCCGTGTTTCTTTGTTCCTGTTCTTACATCAGAGTGAGGACCATTGTTCCAACTTCCAGCTATTAGATTAAGAACCTTGAACTTGTACCAAAGTGAGGACATATTTCTGGTCCTAACGTCACTTTTGGCTAAATATTAGTTTAGGATGTGAACGGAGGTTCTGAGGTTTCACTTCTTAAATTAAAATAAAAAGGTTTAATAACCTTTTAAAGCCCGATCCAAGAATAAAACAAAACAGAAAATTATTTTTTTGTTTTTGGTTTGAAGTCCTTATTTGGCCTTTTAACAAAATATGTAAAAAGAAAAATCAGAAATACATGTTTGATATTAATAATTTATTACTATGCAATAAGTCAAGATTATTTTTTGTGTAGTCTTCTGCCCTCTGTTATCAGGTATATCTGATTGTGAACAATAGGAGAGTTTTTACCATTAAATTATGCAAAAAGTGTCAGACGCAAAACATTTCAGAAACCGTATGTATCAAATATGATACATTTGGCATTACAGGGATAATGTCCAATAGATCACTGGTTTGTATATAGATTCTGTTTAAATCATGGCTTCGATTTTAGGTAAGCTCCTAGGTTGGATTAAGTTGTTGATTTGGGGTATATAAAGACGAAAAGCTTAGGTTTAAGGCTTTGCTATTCGTCCTCAATTATGAGAATAAGGTAAGGGTTAAAAAATAAGAGAAAACGGTGAATTTTGCAAGAAGTCCATAAATCTTAGGGTTAGGCATAAAATATCATGGTAAGTTATTTAAAGGGTTAGTAGGGATGCACGATATAATCGGCCCCCTATCTGTATCGGCCTTAAAACTGAATATCGGACATCG